GCTAAGTATGTAATTAGGTATTAAGCGTATAATACTTGATGTGAAGCGCATTTGATCATATTATCCACATGTAAATTCGCGCTATAGAAATTGTAATCGTAATAGACTAATCGTATAAATGAAAGCTAACAAAATGCAAAATAACATACCTAGAGTACATATTTCAGAAATTCATTGTTGAATAGTTAAAAGTAGTAGTCTTTTTACTGCCTCGTCCCTTGTCGCTTCAGTTGCGAATAGAGATCAGTGGAAGAACAATGGGAGCGCGGGGCTTAATGGGAATGGTGGAAGAGTGAGGTCTTTTTAAACTATTTTGCCGTTTTGTAGAAAACGTACAAGAAAATTAAAATTTAAAAGTATTTTGTTGTCATGAAAACACATGACGTCACACCGCGAGCCTGCGTTCAGTGTTGGCCAATTGTGAATATTTCACGTTAAATAAATTTTTGGAAAATATAGGCGAGGGCTTACTGCATGCATGTATTTCTAGTATATATATATGATGCCCCATAGGATCTATTGAAAAATTCTGCATGTGTCTCGGGCATTATTATACAACATAATGAGAGTGTTTGCTTTTTCGGCACCCAATTCCAATAGACCTTTCCGGTAATTACGTCACGACTACACACTGTTTTCAACTTAGGACCACCTTAAATGGAATGGATTTTAAGTTTGTTTCCCACGGGCTATTGTCAAAGAAGCAGAACATGGAAAAACTCGTCAAAGACAAAAATATAATCGAATCCGTTGTAAATAAAATCGGTGAGTCAGCCAAGCAAGAAGTCTACGAAAGTCTATCTTATGACCAGAAATGCCTAGAGGATAAGTACTCCGAATTTAACGCGAAACTTGAAAAATTGGTGGCCGATCTTGAAAAAAATCGGCTCAAACAGATTGATGAATTAGACAGCATCAACCAATATGGCCGCCGAAATTGCATACTTATACATGGCGCTGCTGAAATTAAGGGGGAAGATACCGATCATATCGCTGTGAACCTGTTCAACACAAAGCTTAACATACCAATCAACGAATCTGATCTGGACAGATCGCATAGATTAAACACCAAAAAACGGAATCAAAATCGGCCTCGACCCATCATTGTAAAATTTAGCTCCTAGAATAAGAGAGCTGAAGTATTTAAAGTCAAAAGGCGACTAAAGGGATCTGGAGTAAGCCTATCCGAAAGCCTAACTGCCCAAAGGCAACAACTACTGGATACTGTTCGCAATAATCCAGCAGTAGCAACAACATGGACCCTAGATGGTAGAATTATATGCCTTCTAAATGGAAGCCAAAACAAAATCATAATTGAACACCCGAAGGATTTAATCAAGCTTCCCCCAACCAAGTAATTGCTTAAAGAGGTATTCAAACTCTACTTGTATTAACTATTTTGTATTGACTAAATTTGTGTGTTTAGGTTAATCAATTTGTGTGCCTAGGTTAATACCGGTATATATTTTTTTCTCATAATTTATTGACTATCCTCAAAATTATATAAATACTTCTGTCTATAAATTACAAAACAAAATTTATATAATTATTTATATTTATGTTACGAAAGTATATCTAAATAGTATAAAAATAGTTCAATTTGCACCCCAGGTAATTATAGATACTAGTTACGTCAAATGGAGAGATAATGAGCATTTTTGCTGTAAAACGCAGATAAAGTATATATCATTTCGGACTTGTGTAAAAGTGTCAATTATCTGTCCATTAGGCAAGATAAATGATTTGTCAAACTGTCAAAGTTGGACGATAGCCTTGCATGGTGGGCTGTTGTGTTTACATAATTCAAAGTCCAAGGCTGGTTCTTCTCTGACATGAAAATGTGCATGCTTAGGGCCTTTCTGTCAATCATTCTTCGGTATATTTCGCGCGGTTGAGTAAGAATAACATTACGTCATCAAGGTCTTGGTTCAATAAAATTGTAAGTAAATTTAGTTTAGTAGGTAAAGTAAGGTTCACATAGGTATAGTTTGAAGTTTTTACTATGATATTTTGATGAGTATTTTAAGTTGTGAACATGTTTTAATGATGATCGATTGAACAGCGAACCAACTCGACCAGTGCGACAACGCCTTAAATAAACAGAATGTGAGAGCTGGAACGAGCTAGCAACGCCAACCCACACTTTTAAACCTCAACGTTGATTGGCTGGATACAAATCACACCACTTGCTACATCACGTGTACAAAGATCCCCTCAACCGTTAGTATAAAAGGGCGTGCACAACCCAAGTTCGTCAGTGGACGTATGCTGAATAAAACTTAACTGATGAAAAGCTGCAGAAACTCAAACGAAACAAACGAACGACGAAGAAGAAATAAACGAAACAGATCACGAACAGTGAAAGCCAGTTGAAGGCTGAAGTGAACTCTTGAAAAACTACTGCAAGAAGACGAACACTAAAAACTGATAGTTACTAGAGATTGATTGTAAACGATTCCCTACCTCGCGTAGAAAAAAGAAATAAAATAACTATATTCCTAACATTTATATAATTATGATAAAATTTTATGATATTATATATACTATGAAATCTTGTCAATAATGTAAACCATGACTCTGAATATTTTAATGAAGAAAGGTTCAAAACTAAATTCTCTTCAAACCCTAATGCCTTTTCACTTATGCATCTTAATGCACGTAGTCTTTCACACAACTTTGACAAAATTACCAACTATCTAAACCTACTAAAATTCCCCTTCCCAGCACGGGCTTTAGGACAAATTCAATTCGACAACAATAGTATTCTATCTAAATAACAGTTAAAATAAAGTGTACGGCACCTGAACTGTTCAATATCTTGCTTCTGTATCCATAAAACATTTACATATATGCAAATACTGTATATTTTCAAAAT